AAATACCATAAAACTCCATGGCACAGTTAATGTGCGCTGGGTGGAAATGACCGTGCGGCATCAGGTGACTCTGCATGTGAGCTGTGTATCAGTCCATTGGCGGCTCGAGATACGGTATTTCGCTAGTGACGTTAAATGACTCGAAATAGTGATTCAGGAACTCGAACGTGGGCCGCTTCTCCGGGCTGGCGTCCCAGCATTGCAACATCAATCGATAAATGCTGTCCGGCAGCAGGTGATTCAGTGGTTTCGGCATTCGGTAGCCCTTGTTTATCTGTTCTATTACCTCGCGACCCTGCATACCTAAGAGAGAAAGAAAACGACAGCATTAGTCTTGAAAAATACTAACTTCAACGTTAACCATAGCCTGAAACTATAAGAACCATTTTGATTGAGTACATTTCGTAACGTCACTAACATCTAACAGTTCTAATGGACTTCGGTTATCCCTTATCTATAATTTAAAAGACATATTCTTAGAAATCATAGGACAGGTAAATAAAAATGGTAAAAATACCCAAATGGGATCGTTCATTCTCCAACAAAGAAATGAGTCTCACCAGGATAAGGAACTTGGCCATAAGTGAAGAGCTCCATCAGCAAGATACCATAGGACCAAACATCGCTCTTGATGCTGAATCTGCCGTAGACGATGGCTTCAGGTGCCGTCCACCTGACGGGGAACCTGCTACCTTGCTTGGGACAGTACTCGTCGTCCTCGATCGCCCTGGCGAGTCCAAAATCGCAAATCTTTGCCTTGTTCTTTTCGCCTATGAGCACGTTCCTCGCTGCGAGATCTCTGTGTATCAGCTGTTTGCTCTCCAAGTGTTCCATGCCGGACGCGACCTGGGCCGCGATATAGATCAGATCCTCGAACTGCATGTACTTGCCGTCCCCGGTCCTGAGGAAGTCCAGCAGGCTCCCGTTGCACATGTACTCCTGCACAATGTAGATCGGCTCCTCTTTGGAGCAGATAGCGTACAACGCCACCAGGTGTCTATGCCGGAACTGCTTCATGATGGCGGCCTCCTGTAGGAATGCTTCAGTCGACATGGTCCCGGGTCGCAACGTTTTCACAGCCACTTCGATTTTGTTCCTCCACTTGCCGTAGTACACCTCGCCGAAGTTACCGTGGCCCAGCTTGCGGATCAGCTGTATCTCGTTCCTGTTGATCTCCCACTTGTCGCGTAGCTCTGGCCCGAGGTCCCACATGTCTGGCTGGGGCTTCGGACACGGTTTCGAGAGCACGTGACAAAGACCCAACGCATTTTCTGGAAAGTTGAGCTTGGTTTTAGGGCTGACGCAGGAAAATTTCGTTCAGTTTTCATGTTTGGGTTCGCTTGTTTTCAACACGTTGAACGCCGCACGATTTCTTCGGGCAGAATACACAAAATGAAAAAATATAGTGTCAAACTATTTGATTGAATTGCATTAGTATTATTGCACGTTCGTCTAACTGAATATCACTGCATTACGTAGCGTTATTTACAATATAGAAATGTTTTCAAATAATCGTCGTTTCATTGAGTGAACTATAGTAATTCGATTTGGTTGGGGGTCACCGATGACCTGGCATTCAACGCGTTAATGATGAAACGTATGAGGCACCTATGGATTTTTATGAAGCTAACGAAGATCTAAAGGAAGAATAAGGTACACAATTTTGTAAAATATCATTCCTTTTGTAATATTTTTGTCTCAGTCTATATTAAATAGAATTAGCAATTCCCTTTTGCAATTACTTGGATCAAGAGAATCTGGCATCAGGAACAATACCTCTAATAGCCGGTACAACGTACACAAAGAGAGCCGTGCTTATGTAATCCAATTTAATTAATTTTAATAAACACCATTTGGTTCCGAAGAGAATGGTCCTAAGACACAATGGAGCAAGGGAAACGGTTTATCGATTCGCAAGCGTGGCGTCGCGCAAGCACGTATTATAGCAGTAAATAGTCCCGCGAACATAAGAGGTGCGTAACGATAGACGACGTGGACATTTGGTCGCGTGACGACCATTAAAGACGCGCATTCTTTTCGAGCCCATTCTCGTCGGAGCCCGCCAATGGTACCCGTGACCCTAAAGTTTAACCGCCTGCTTCAAAAAGACTTGCACAGTTGCCGGCAATTTCAGAATTTTCCCTTTGCTTTTATCATGCACAATGGAGGCGAAACGCGAACCCTCCCCAAGGACATTCAAATTGAACGCTTACTGCTATACGCCATAACAAGGGCCGGCAGAGTAGGGAATGTCTGGTTGGTGGCGATAAAGAAGCCTCCATTGTCCAGTGGTTTAATTTTATAGTGTTTCACGTGATGGCCCCTCCCCTCCTCCCAGTCTTTCACGGACAAACTGTAGCCTCTTGGATTGTGCTCGCTCGGTCTCACCAGGAACGTTCCGCGAGGGTTCTCGTCGACCAGCAACAGCTTGCCTGCCTCCTTGCGCGAGACGTTCTCGAAAAACCAGCTGGAAACACACAGAATTTCGAATTTCAAACGGGCGACGCTCAAAGGACAAGTTTCTTAAGAAAACCAGGCAAATTAATTTCAAACGGAAGCCTCACTCACTCTTCGCTCTCCACCGAACGCTCGACAGCGACGAAGTTCCAGGGAATCAGACCCTCTTGTAAAGTTGTCAAGTGCAAAACTTTCCACCAGTCGGGCTCCGAGTCGTCCAATACTTCCATTCGGTCGCCCTTCACGAAGCTGACGTCGGTGCTCTCGCGCGCGGTGTAATTGTACAGGGCCACCACGATCTTGTTCGACCTCTGTGAATGCGCTGTTTCAAGAACGAACCAATTTAACATGTCTGTGTCAAGGGGCCGGCTGAATCCTAATTTCGCTGCGTTGCTACTGGTTACTATCGAGCCCTGTTTCCCGGCCGGGGAATCCGATCTTAAATCCTTTTCCGCGGCCGCGAAACTACCTAGAAGCTGGTAGGTACTTTCGAGCTCGTGGTGCAACATAGAATCCCGTTCTTCCGTCGAGAACTGAGGATTCGGTAGCAAGCTTATAAGCTACGACTGACCAAGACTGATTCGTGGCGTAAAAAATCAAAATTCTATGCTACGAAATGAAAGAAAAATAACATAAAAATACACACATGCAGGCATAACGACAGGCGAGCTTGTTTTACGGGGTTGGTGCGGTATCTGTAGCTTACAAGGTGTCGGCCTCGGCCGGATGATGTCCGCCCTTGCTTGCACACCCCTTTGATTCGGGTCGGCAGTGTAACGGTCCAAGGAGCCTCCATTGCTGTGTTTAGAGCTTAGCCCTGTGTCCGCCTTCTTGTAACCTGGACGCAGATAATCTCTCGTCAACCAAGAATAGAATCTTCTCGCATTCTCATCGTTCTTAGCTACTCTCCACTCATCTCGATTCTCGCGTGATTCGTTCAGATAATTGTTTACGATGTTTAGAGAAATTCTGGAAACTGATTTTAACAGATCGCACGAATTCAAAAGGATCTATCGAGTTTGCTACCTTAACACTAGAACTACCGAGGGATTAAATCATCTTTTGAAAATGTCTTTATAAAATTATGTCTTCTCCTATAACGTCGACCCGTGATGAATATTTTCAATCGAATTCGACGAAACTAAATGTTATCTATTTATTTTTCATATAAATGAAATATTATTCGGCCATTATCAATCGTTAATCTTTAGAATACACGTAGATGCGGTATAAACAACGAATTCTTTTCTTTACTAAATTATTAATGATAATGATTCATCAGGCAGAGTTGTGAAAGAATCTGTACGTTCGCAGTCATTCTAAAAGAAGAAATTAAGAATTAGTCACTTCGACCCACCTGGTAGTTCTAGTGTTAAAATATACACTTATTCATCAACCACGCAAAGATCACCCCTTATCACTATACCCAACCGTTCACAATAGCCAATCAAAAGTTCCTCAAGAATATGTAAACCGACAGAAGAAAGAAGTTGCAAGAAGAAACCAGGAGAAAATACTACGAGCCCGAAGAATCGTAGCGATTCTTCTTCCGTCTACCAGTTCTATTCCCCAGGCGCAGAGCCAATCTTTCTTTCTTCCACCGTAGGTAAGCCCGCTCAAGTCGCAACCTGGTATATCCGCAGCCATACAAACGCTTCCAAGAAACGATCAAGAGAAGGTCCAGCTGCCAGTCTAAAAAACTGTGTCGACTCTGCCACCCCCTATAACGCGTTCATTCTTCATCCACAAAGACTCCGTTCCTGGCTGCAGGTAATTCAAAGGGCAGCCCGAGGTATCCCAAGAAACATCATCGGTTCACACCGGTGTGCCCTCTCCGAAAGAAGATCAAGAGAAAATCAAGTTGGCGTCGGGTTGAAAAAATTAGGTTAACTTTGCTACCCCGCAGGAAACGGCTGCCGCAGAGTCTAGGCGGCGATATCTTCTGCATCAGGATCCTCCCAGCCACTCAGAACTTTCCCGCAGGATGCTTAAAGCGTGAACGCGAGTCGGAAAAGAAAACTTTATCGCGGCAACGAGCCGCAAGATAGAAGTTGGGAGGAAAGCGGCGGGTACTTACCGAGGGGCTGTGACTCTTGCCGCTTGCTGCAACACTTGCCCATCTTGGATCCGTATCACGACGCCCGGGGTTCCCGTTTTACGATCCTGTTTCCTACGCGGCTTCTATACTGACGCGGCCGTCGAGGAAAGTCTCCATCATCACGTGAACTCTCCGGGTCGGGAACGGTGGAGGCTTCCGCTGCGATTTTTCGGATCACTTTCTTCTCTCCATCGCGTGTTTATTGATTCCGCGCGCACCTGCAACGCCAGAAAACCATCAAGGATACCGTCCCGAGGCTGTTACCGCCGGCGGAACATTTTTCAGCGGACGCCGTTCGCGCGCGCGCTCGCTGCAGGATACGTTGTTATAATTCGCGGTTACGAATAGACGATCGTTCACCCGTGGAAAATAACGTGGCTCGATAACGTTCCGACCGTGACGCCATTATTATCACGTTCGACGGTGTCTAGTGCTCTTTCTTTTTCGCCGGTAATGCCGTACTGTACGCGAGTTTTTCGAATTGTTGGGTAGGGAACGGTAGTGCATCTCTTTCCCGTCTTCGAGATGATGGGGGGTTTGCCAACTCGAAGGTCAAATGGAGATTACGGTAGTCGCTGTTCCGAGTTAAGTGCACGCTGAATTGTGGAGAATCGTACTGTAACGAATTGCTGGAATGTTTTGTTGTAGACTTTTGTTTGAAATACTTGAAGAATTTCGGCGTGCAATTAACCCGTTAACTGTGGAGTTTAGTTTTACAAGTCTCTTTTGCGCCCGATAAAATCGGGAAATGAATGCACCTAGCGTATATTTCAATGAAAAACCAAAGCCAAAGAATTATGTTTACATGAAAACAGTAAAGAATTCATCGTTGAAAGAATCAGTATCCTTTCAAGCTTTAAGACGACGTATATACTCATAAAAAATAGTTAACTGTTTAAACATAGAACCTCTTCGTCAAAGTAGGTTGAAACATTCTTTCGATAAGCTATCAGAGTTATCACTAACAGCTGCTACACGATTAAACAAACTCCAAAAAATGATTCGCATTAAGTAAATCTTCACGTCAAATAAACGAATCACGCGAAATAACGAAAGTTTCGAATCCAGAACACCAAGAAATCTAAGTGCATTTTCGTCAAGTTATCGAGCGCCAGAAGTTTCCGTAACGATCGAACGTCAAAAGAATATCCTAATTTTCACACGCGAACGTGAACAACCGGAGAGGCGGGCAATCAGAGAGCGTAACAGATGCTGTGCCAGTGACTAAGATTAAGTTGGACGCGTTCGCGGCACGAAAAACGACCGAACTTTCCCGGACGGACCTAATATCTCGAACGATTTCACGAATACTGCGACGCCGACTCCCGCTGGATCATCGATCACGCCGTATTTAAAGAAGACTTAAGGCGTCCAGGTTTTCGTCTTGTGTCGTGCGTCTTCTTTAACTCGAAGGGGTCGCGTGTTCCGTTTCGGCGCGAGACAAATCAGGCATGTGCCCGGTGTTTCCGAGTAACACGCTAAATTAGAGTGAACGCTGGGACGACTAACGACGCCGTTTCCTAGAACACTTTCATTCAGAAATTTTTAACGCTTCCTCCTTTGTGTCCCGTTAACTTTATAACGTGTCGTAACTGTCTACCCTTTCGACCCCTTTGCTTGTCACAGTTTGTAAGGTACAGTTCATTCTACTCGAATAAAAAAAGCGCTTAATTCTTTATGCCCTGTGTAATGCTACTTACATTGTCATGCACGGAGTTTCTAGGATTCTACATTATTGTCTAATATCTTCTATTCATTCCAGTGTTTGTAGTAAAATAAAAGAAACTATTATCGATACTTCTTTATTACTTTCAATTTGCTTCATTAATCATTCTAGATATTGTAAATTTGGAAACCTAGATAGTTCGTTATAGAATCGAAAGATTATTCCTTTCATACGTACAGGTTTTTGACTACATAGAATTAAACAAACTAGTATTATCAATATTTCTTCAGAACTTCGTTCCCTCAATTATCCTAAAGATCACGAATTTAGAAACATAGTACTGTTCATCACAGAGTCGAAGGATTATTCCTTTCCTATACAGGTTTTCCAGCAAATAAAACCAAAGAAACCAGTATTAATATTTCTTCGTAACATCCGATTTCCTTCACTACCAATTCCAAATATCTCAAACCTGGACACTCAGTGTACAGTTCGTTGCACAGCTCCAACGTTATTTCTCCTCCGTACGCGGGTTTTTGAATAAATAAAGGTTCCTCTGCCATTGGATTCTTTGAACGACTTAAAGTCGTAATTACACTTATCGATAAGAGGCCGTGAATTGAATTTCGAACAAGGAGAACGTGTCCGCGAATAAAAACGTCGCTCGAACGGTGCGTTGAACGCTACACAGTTTGCAATGAGTATTATTCGGCGAAGATAAAGGAAACAGAGTACACGGGTTTTATGAAAATGCAAATGCGCGTATGGATCGCGTGCGTGTGGATCGCGTGCGACAATGGGGCCCGGGGGCTGGCACGATTTTCCGCGTGGCTCTCGATCCCCATGGCCTTCTCCGGACACAAGGAACACCGGGACGCTGTTCTCTATTCACGTTCGTTCTTCGACAGATGCAATCGTACCGGTAGCGTACACGAAACCACGAGCAAGCCAGAATAAATAAACTTAGACGGTGTCTAGAGCGTGGAGGGTTCATTTGGTAGCGCACGACGACACTTCCTGTCGTCTATGACACACCATTACATCTTGCATAATTATGAGCCGCGGCGCAGCTACCTCGCGCGCCCGACTCCGTATATCAATTCCTTTTATTTCGGTGGGCTGAAAGCGGCGCGGTACGAAACGCATTCCAATTTTTAACCAACAGGTATCATCCGGTACGTCCGTCACGCAATTTAGTTATTTTCGTTCCGAGACGCGAAACCCAGAATAATTTCAGCGTTATTGTAACGTCGGAACAAAATCAACGAAAACGGAAACGCGTGCATTTGAGAAAGTTATTCCCATAATTTTTGCTTTCCTAGTTTTCTATATATACACGTTACTCTTTAATTCTCGAAAATGCAAACGTCCATTAACAGTTTCTTTATTGGCCCCTCGACCTACAATATCGTGTCAGATTCGTGAAAATTTTAAACTCAATGTGAGAAATCTAAATGTTATTTATTGATCTAAATATAACTTGAATATTACGTTTCTATTATCAATCGTTAATCTTTGGAGTAAACGTAGTCGCAGGATAAGGATAAAAATCGTTCCTTTTCCTAATAAATTATTAACAATGAAGTAGTATCGATTATAGTTACGAAACAAATCATAGGGAAAAGGGTTAATGCTAGAGCGTTGAGGATGATTAATACCTGATTCTTATAAAAATTTCAATACTAGATTTTTCGGTTTCTTCGTATATTAATTACAATATCGAAGTGAAAGCAATTTTCTCAATCATTTCGGATGTGTCACGCTTTTAAGGTACATATAACCGCGAAATAGGAGAACTGAAAACCGCCATTTTGACGGGTACGGTTGCCTCGTTAAAAATCACCGCGGATATCGCCCGCAGGAACAAAATATTTCCCGACATCCCCGCGAAACCAACAATCACAGATCGAACTAACGAGCAACCCCCTAAATGCGCTCCGTAACCCGATCCCCAAACAGTGGAAAAAACTCGCGGAAACTCGCCGACGCGATGAACTTCCAACGAGGCAATCCTGCATAATAGAAAAAGTATGCAAATGCAGCACGACGAAACCTTGTTAGGCGATTCCCACCGGGCCGATCGATCGGAACGACTTCGCCGTTCGTTCCCATCACCTAGGAACTTTCGTCATTACACGAAGACGCGGCACCGGCGGACCGGTTCGCCGATAACACCGT